CATTTAAAGTCCCATTCACAATTGAACAAGCTGTAACACATACTGGGCAATACATGTTTAGATACACAAGTCTCTCTCTCTCTCTCTCACTCACACACACACATACTAAAAGCAGGCACATCTTTATCTCTCTCTCTCTCTCTCTCTCTCTCACACACACACACACGTAATAGTAATATTCAAAAAAAATATATATATAGTAACATTCAAACAAAAAATAATAACATATGCTTCAATGAAAAAATAGTAACATGGAAAAAAAAAGTATTAACATGATAAAAAAGTAGAAACATGTTCAATACAAAAATAATTACAGAGAAAAAAAAATTGTACCAATACAAGCATCTCTTATTCACGAAAACACACCGATGAAAATGATGTTCAACGTCGTCATCAGAGAAAACACATAAAAATAATATTTTGATACCATAATAAACTCATAATTTTTCAATCACATCAAGATCATCAGGTTCGATTAAGACATCAACAATTTTTTTTTCAAAAATAAAGATATCAATATAAAACCCAAAATAAAGTTCTTAAGTGTATATAGGCTCGAAAAAGATCCAAGAAAAATGGAGTCACCAGATATTCCTTCGTTGCATGAAAGTCAACAACACCACCGGCCAAAACTTCATTGATCATTGTAGATCATCGCCATCCAAAGCTGCTGATTTCGGCGTTATTTGGCAATCCGTTTGTCATTGAGAACGAAAAGGAGAGAGAGAATAGTCTAACCGAGTTTTTTGAATTTGAATTTCAAATTTATAAAAAAAAAAATTATTGGCATACTCCATTGACAGCGGATTAATGGGTAACAATAGTCAAGTTAAAAAATTAATTTAACGTTGCTTTCAAAGAAGGTTATTTTGTAGTTATCAAAAAATTGTGGACTTAACTACTTACTTAAAGATTAAAAGATGACTTATTCCAAAATAAGTTTAAGTGATATACTTAACTCATTAAAAGTCTCATAAATAGGACTTAGCCCAAATTTTTACTTAATTTATTATTATTAATTATAAAAATAATAAAATAAGATCACTTTATACTTGTTATATTTTTTATTAAACAACAGAATTATACCAATAACATTTTTAAATAGATTATTTTACTTCATTGGCTGACGAATCTATACATGTCAACCGTCACAATGGCAAATAATTAAGTGTAAGTGTGATGTAAGAGATGCTAATCCGTGGTTAGACTTTGATATTAATTCTTAATTATTTTTAAATTCAAATATCTAGAGTCCGTTTGGTAACGTTTTGTTTTCGCGTTTTCAAAAAACGCGAAAACAGAGATAATTTTTGTCTGTGTTTTGTAGTAAACACAGAAAATAGAAAACATTTTTGAGAGTCATTTGTGTTTATCAAATTATGAGAATACAAACAAAAAACATGTTTGGTAACTATTTCAAGTTATATCCTCAATATTAACTTTATACAACAAAAGAAAAATCAAAAATTTTTATCGCAACATATCCACTAATTCATCAAATAACACCTATAGCAAGATAACTGGATTATATAAATCATTAATCATAGTCATACATCATATTATTCAGCATACTAAATACACATAATAATAAGTCATATCACTTAACTAAAATCCCAATAACTAGTAAAAATACCTTGACGGTACGAATGAGGATTTCATTAATTTCTGAAAAAAATTACACCTAGTAAGGGGGACATACGAGCCTTACCCTAAATGCATCTAAATACATGATTGGTAAATTTTGAAAATGCATGCTGTTACAGTAGATTTCATACATAAGAGATAAGTAGAACAATCCTGCCGCCTCATGTGTCTGGACAAGGCAAATGTCAATCCATTAGAGATAGCCCTGTGCAAAAACTGCAAGCTTCAAGGAGAGATGGACCATCAATATTCAGCTTAAGCAGTCCTATTGAAGGCAGTTTCCAGCTAATCCACTTAACTTGCATAGAGATGGAACCTGGTGAAACCATTGAGTCACTGAAGTAAAGATGTTGCTTGAGCTGAGTCAATTGAATTAGGTTTAAAGAGGTTGTAATTTTAACCCATTACCCATTAATTTATCCAATCCGTCCATAAATTAATGAGTTGGATATCTATATTAATTAATATAGATTCTAAATGAGTTGGGTAATATCATTCATTTTAATTAAACGGGTTAATATGAGTTACAAATGAGTATCTATTGGGTTGAGTATTTATCTTTTTATTAAATAACACAAATAATAAAATTAAATAAATATACTAATATACCAAAAAATACATACATATACACTAATACACCAAAATATACACACACTAGTACACAAAAAACACACACTAATACACCACCCATGACCTACGGGGTCAACCCGTGGGGCGACCTATAATTCATGGTTTGACCCATGACCCTTGGGTTGATCCATAACCCATGGGCCAACCTTGGCCCATGGATCGACCCACAACCCCTATGGGCTGACCCATGACTCATAGCCCACAATTACCCTCACCCATTATTTGTTTATTTTTTTTATTAAATGTATTTTAGTTTTTGTGTTAGTATATGTGTTTGTATTTTTGGTGTATTAGTGTATATTTTAGTGTGTATATTTTTAGTGTATTAGTTTGTGTGTGTTTTAGTGTATTAGTGTGTGTGTATGTTTGTATTTTGGTATACTACTAATGTGTGTGTGTTTGTGTGTATTTTGATGTACTAATGTGTTCATTAAAAATTTTAATTATTTTATGGGTTAATCGGTTTAATCCAACCCGTTATAACTCATTTACTACATGAGTGAAAAATGGATTGGATTTATTTTAGTCCAATTTAATTTAACTCAACCCACTCATTTGCCACCTCTAGGTTTAACATTTAAAACCTACAGCCTCCGATGATGCATTATTATCATAAAAACAAAATTAGGATGTAGCTTTTGGCCTTTAAACCTCGCATTAACGAATGATAGAGAGATGGTTTTTTTTGAAAATTTGAATAAGCCTCATGAGCCATATAATTGGCTTTTCATTAGCAATGAACAGAAGCCCCAACAGTTCTGAATGTATAAGCCATATAGCACTTGCATACCGGCAACTAATAAAGAGATTAGAAGCTGACTCAGTAGCCTCATTGCATAAGACGCATCTGCTCACCAATAGAAGTATGCTGCCAAATAAGTCTACCCCTCCTTAGTAGTGATAGAAATATTTGTAAAAAAACACCTTTTGAAGGAGACGCGGAACAATAAATTGTTAAAGTTCCCTCAACTGCCAAGCTCCATCCACAAACAACTCAAAAAGCCTTGGAAAAGCCATTGGTGAGCACACACAAACATAGACACCCACATACACTCAGCACACTCTTTGAGCCACAACACCCACAGACCACACACACAGGCTCAACATACAGACACAACACACACACACACACACACATACCACACACAGAGACTCAATACACACAGACACTCACAGACACAACACACTCACATTCACATACACAACACAGTCAAACACATAGACACAGAATACACACACACAAACCACACACATGGTTTTGAATATCAATAACGGGTGGTGTAATGGTATCGGTAACTGTGTAACGGTATCGATAACGGTGTAACGGACATGGGGTCTAACGGGAATTACGTGACAATAACGGAAATCGGAGTCACGAGTTTTATTAATACATTCACAACTATGGACAAAAATTAAAATTTTCTATATATTTGGATCAAAATAAAATAAATTCATTTTTTTGTAATTTGTAATAATTTTTTATTATATTAATTATTTTGGTATGCTAAATTATTTAATTAATCCAGATTTATGGCACATGAAAAAAAATTAGTCCAAGTAATTAATATCTATTTATTTGAAAATTGTAAAATAGGAAGTAGTCAAAATAACTAGTAAATTTAGATTATTGGGATAAAATAAAAATATTTTACAATTGTCAATAAAATTTAAAGAACATGACACTTGTCATTAATTCATTCACAAAAATTGTTGATACTGCATCAACAACCATTCATTATATAGGTTGTAGAAGAAAATAATTCACTTGATTTTTGCCTTTCCCAAAAGCTTGCCAACCAGGACAACCTGTCCTTTCTCAACCCAATCATCTCCATTATCAAGCTCTACCTATTTATACTCCGCCCATCTTCTTCGGCTTGTAAACCTCCATGAACGAGCACCAAAAGCTAAAAAATATGTCGTTACGTTAGCGTAATGGTCTTACAAGTGTGAATTTTTTTTTACCCATTATATTTGGGTGTAACGGGATCGGAGCTCAATGTTAACATTATGTAACTGTCATTACGCACTGTAACGGCGATTTTTAAAATCGCTTACTCACAGAAACACTCATGCATAGACACAAAACACACACACCCACGCTCAGTCACATACTCAACACACACACACTAACATAGACTAAAAAATTTTCAATTTTCCATCACAGCCAAGCTATATTCTTTTGCGAACGCTATTAAATACAACATTAAATTTTAACGGGTGGTAATGTGTTCTCACAAACTGCGCAACCTACCCATAGTGTTCCACCATAAAAATTTCACACCATACACTTCTAAAATTTTCGGCAATTATGAACATGTTAACAACATTAAAAATAGTAAATAATTCCAGAATTTCAAGTCCCTAATTCCAGGTCAAAAAAAACAAAAAGTCCCTAATTCATTTTTAAAAAAAAAAAAGCAATATAGAAGGAGAGTAAATAGCCTCAGAATTTGATATTTTCTCTTTTGCCTAGACAAAAAGAGCACAAAAGTCAATACCCACACACAGTACCCACAAATTGACACACACACAGATAGGTATACTCACAAATCGACACACATAAGCGCGCGCGCACACACACACATACAAAACACAAATCTGAGCTAGATCTATGTATATATAGATTTTATATATATACCCTCACAGTAACCTTTCAGCTCGATAAAGACGATTTCATTGAAGAAGGCAACAACGAAGATCGATTCGTTCAAGCAAGCGAGAAGATGGAATGGAGCTTGGATTCATCTTTCAAACCCACAAGAAGCTACATCGGTTCGTCTTCGTTAGTATACAAAGAGAGAGAGAGAGAATGGGAAAAGAGAAGTCTGAAAATCATGTTTTATACTTCCACAAAAAAAAAACACATTTTGTTAGTAATGACAGTCAAATCTGATACTTCATTAAAACTTTCAATTGGGTTTCGCGCATGTTTCGTGCTTCGGGTGTTTTCTGGAACACAAGTTTTTTTGTTCCCATTTTTGTTTGGCTTGTTTCCAAAACAACTAAAATGAAACAAAAAACAAAAACAATTAACAAACATATTTTTGTTTTTAATTTTGACAAAAATTGAAAACAAAAATATAAAACAATAAACAAACTGGCCCTTAATTTATACCCCAATCAAATGCATGACACATGACAAGTGACGTTCTTACAATCTATATTTAGTAATAACTTAATCAAAGTATATAGCTAAGTATCATTTTTTAAAAAATAAATGTTAAGTGTAATAGTCTTATCCCACTAATCAATTTATATATCACCAAATAAAAAGAGTAATAAAAATAGGGATCAAAGACAAGAATCAAATGATGTGACACTGAATTAATAATATTTTTTTATCTCACTTTTATTTATTTATAATTCAATGTGAAATTAGTTAGTTCTGTAGTTTTGGAATTCGGCCGATCCCAAGTACTTCATTAAAAAACAAATCAACAAGCTAGCAACTGTTCAAAATTTCGAGAAAGCTATAGGCTGATAAAGATGAATTTTTTTATTTAAGTTTAACTATAATTGTCACATCATTTGAACTCTATTTTAGTTTATATGCATTGTGTTTTTTTTTTCTGCTTTATATTTTTTACAATAAATGTTAAAACCTGGCCTTTCAAAATGACATGCTAATAGTTAACTAATTATGTTAGAGTAATGCAAGATTGATCAAACACAAGAGTCCAAAAAATGGTATAATGATTGACAACAAGTAACGTTCACTCTCTTTGACGAGCTGTCTCTCAAATTATGTCATTTTCCTTATGTTTTTAGAGATTACAGAGAAGAGCTCATACTTTCGATAGCTCTTCGATGTTCATAATGTAAAAACTAACACGCAAAATAAGTTTTAAATGAAAAAAGTGGGATTAATTTTTTTTAATACAATATCACATAATTTGGTTGTTATTTTTATTTCTTATTTTTGGTAAGTGTAATATTACTCAAAAACAAAAAAGAACGGCATGAATAGAAATTAAAGGCCTAATTAGTGGGTTAGTAATTGTATCCAACTGCTTTTATTGAGCGCTTAAAAGCTGGCTTTAAAATTTTGCCTTTGCCGCGCTGCTAAGGCTTGTTTGCAATTGCGGGGCCCACGCCGAAAACCCCGAAAGTTATTTGACTCCGTCAATTACTATAATTTGCCCCGAAACTTGTAGGTAATTGCAAAATAGCCCCTTTTTTTTCGCGAGTACAGTTTTTTCTGTACATTAGCGATGATTAATGAAATGTACTCGTCACGTAAAAGAAGTAACAAAATAATGAAAATCAAGCGAAAAGAAAGGTGTTCTCCTGTAGTATCATCAGNACTAGCCCCTTTTTTTTCGCGAGTACAGTTTTTTCTGTACATTAGCGATGATTAATGAAATGTACTCGTCACGTAAAAGAACTAACAAAATAATGAAAATCAAGCGAAAAGAAAGGTGTTCTCCTGTAGTATCATCAGAAATCTACTCGTAATCGTTTCTCTCTCACCCGACTGTGAAGAATCAAGAACCCCAAGCCCCCCCCCCCCCTCTCTCTCTTCTAATCCTGGAAATTCTTGCTTTGAATTCTGCATATGGATGCCATTGTTGACTCTCTTTTTAATCAGTGAACCTTTGCTTTAATCAGTCCTTCCAGCCTTAGTATTGTGGTGCAAAACCCTAACAAAGAAGTTAGGATTTTATGGTTTGATTCGTTTTCGGTACAGAACACTTTCATTTTGAGGCAAAATCGTTTGATTTTTGACGATTTAGTATTGTTGTTTGTGATTATTTTGTATATATGCCCTGTTTGAATGCCGATAAACTTAGTAACAGAAAACAAGCGTGCATATACACGAGTTCTTGTGTGTTTTCTGTGAATGTATTAGCATATCTATACGTCGAATAGATAGGTGTTTATGGGATCGTTCATCGTTGCCTATGTGGTGGTGCTTTTTCTGATTATTAGTAGGTTCTCTGTTTGGTTGCGGAGAAGGCAAAAGAAAACAACCCTTTGAATGCATTGACGTGTGTGAATGTGTGTTTGTGGATTGTAGATATAGTAGCTTATATATATTTGCGGTTGTTTATACACTACAAATTGCTTGTGATATGTGAAAGCAGAGGCTTCCACCCCGCCAACTGTAGTACAACTATATGGCTTTACTAGGAGTGCGACCATTGTTGAATCGGGGACAGATGGTTTTGATTTTATTTTTTTTTCCCATTGGTTTTCTCAACCCCCTAATGTGGTCAGATCATATGACCCAGTTGGGGTGAATCTTGTCATTCTATTTATGCCACAACAATGTATAATGTTGGATACACGATTGTGTGTTCTGTTTCTGTTATTTTCCTGTGGCTCTGTCGCTACTAAACTGTTTTTTTTTTACTTCAGGTTTATGATGTCTCACAGTAGAGAAAGGAGGAGAGAGAGTAGTGACTTGGAGCTGGAAGATTTGAAGTACAATTATTATAAAGAGTTAAGAGATGGAATAATCAAACTTAGAGGTCCTGGAAAGTTGTATCGATGCCCTTTTTGCATGGATAAGAGAAGGGTAGAGTATGATTACAGAGAGCTTCGTCGTCACTCTTCTCGCATTGGTAGAGAGTCGAAGAGTGCCAGGGAAAAAGCAAGACATTTGGGGTTGATTAAATACTTGGAGAGGTATGTAGATATAGAGGGAAAATCAAAAAGATCAAACTGGAGAAGTACTGAGCCGGCACAGAGGAACCGAGATCCTAAGACTAAACTGCCATTACCTAAGAGTGTCACGCCGGCTGATACTAATATAGCTGCATGTAAGTCATCCTGGTCTATTGAAAGAGCAATCCAAGTGGTGGGGAAATCTATTGATGGTAGTACATCACCGGAGATTGATGCTGGAATTAATGAACAAATTGGGATCAACGGAAATGCAAATACTGCAGCGGTACAGTCCTCTGTTAGAAGCCCGAAACTTGGTCCGCCATCTCAGCCCACTACAAAAACTATCGAGTCATCTGGACTCAAAGCTAAAGAGGAGCTTATTGTTTGGCCTTGGATGGCTGTGGTTGCAAACATACCGGTTCACTACAAAGATGGCCGATATGTGGGTGCAAGTGGTAGGCAGCTAAGAGAGGAATGGGTGAGCAAAGGATATAACCCTCTGAAGGTTCATCCTCTATGGAGTTTCCGAGGTCACTCGGGGTATGCAATAGTGGAGTTTAACAAAGATTGGGCAGGATTTAAGAATGCAATGACATTTGAAAAAGCATTTGAAATGGATAATCATGGGAAGAGAGATTGGTATGCACCTAGGCGAAAAGGAGATAAGCAATATGCTTGGATTGCCCGGGATGAGGAGTACAATGCAAGGACTCTTATTGGTGAATTTCTCCGCAAGAATTCAGATCTGAAAACTGTTTCTGATATCCAAACAGAAGAAAACAGGAAGGACACAAAACTTCTCTCCAACTTAAATAATGAGCTGGCGGTTAAGAATATTCAATGTGAAGAGATGAAGAGCAAAATAAGTAAGACAGAGATTTTTAAGGGGAATGTGATGAGGCAGAAAGAAGCGATGGTTCAAAATTACAATGAAGGTATGTTTTGCTTGGAGCTTAAAATTGACTGTTAGACCACACGTCTTCGATCATATGGTATACCTTGAAGTGGAAATTATGGGACTTTTGAGAATTTCATGAAAGATGTAATTCTTTTGTACTTATATATTCTATACTGTAGTTGACAGTATTTCTTCTTTAACCTCTTCTGAATTAGAGATGAAGAGGATTGAGCAGAAACAATGTGATCAGCTTAGAAAGATTTTCAAAGAGCATGAATGGAGTAACTCGCAATTGGAAGCTCATAGAGAAGAGCTGAGGTTGCGTGAGAAAGAACTGAAAGAACGTCAAGCTCTAAACCAGAATGATAAGAAGAAGCTATGTCACGAGAAGGAACTGGTATTAGTTCTTGATGAATTTATTTACTTTCTTTAATTTCCCCTTATTTCACATCCTACGACAAGCAAGCTAGGGTGTTTCTCTGCTGACTTATTGGTGAGGATATCGATGTATGTTTGTTGTTAGCCTGAATAAATTCCAAATGCTTATATTAGGTGTTCTTTATTATGTAGAGAGGGATGGTTAAGGTGTTTGAAATAAATTACAGTGTGATCGTAGTATTGTCCAGGGTGATATCATTTTTTGGCCCTGCTTGAAAAGGTACAGGGGCCTACTCCAATAAATGGTAGTGGCACCACTGGACTTTATCTAGACTGGAACACTCTCAAATTGCATAATAGATAACTTGCTCCCTAAAGAATGCAGAAGGCTTAACTCATCTGATTATGAATGGTTGGGGAATGAAGCAAGCATAGAGAGGTGGGAGGCTATATATGTGTTGCTCTTCTCTGTTACCCAGTTGGTGATTGAACAATGAACAAATAAAAGAAAAAATTGTTAGACTGCCGCAAAAAGTTGGTGGTGCTGAATAGCTATTGCTATCTTCGTGGTCTTTGGAATAAAACTGTTTAGATTAGCGCTATCCATTGATTAATATCGAAGTATACAAATTTACAACTATGTCTAAAATAAAGAAGGGGTTCGACTAAAAATTTAATTTATTATTACAAGATATCGGAGTAAATACTGATATGAATTTCTCTCATATGGCAGAGTCTAGATAGAAAAAAACAAAAAAAAACAACCATATCAATTTGGATGTGTTTAGAAAATAATCCTCACTACTTGATTCTGGCTTCACTAAGTCTAGCGTTCTAGATTTTCTTCTGGGGCTTTCCTTTTTGATAAGATTCCCTTGAACCAATCAGAATAACTTTTGCAGGCATGGTAACATCAATTTTATATTTGCAGAATGAGAGAGCAATTTGGAACCAGCAGAAGGCCAGTGAAAATATGCTGAAGTTGGCAGAAGATCAAAAGGTGTGTTAGTGGTTTCTTTGCTTTACACTGCATTTCCAGAAGATCAATTGTGTTTAATTCCAATAATTTCACATTTTTAGTACCTGACTTTGACATCAAATGGCAGAGACAAAAGGAGGAACTTCACCAGCAAATTATTGCGCTTGAAAAGAAACTTGATGATCAGCAACGCTTGGAATTGGAGATCGAGCAGATGAGGGGAGCTATCGGAGTGATGAAACACATGAGTGAGGATGGTGATATGGAAGTTAAAAAGAAGATGGAGCTAGTTGAAGTCGAACTTAAGGAGAAGGAAGAAGAACTTGATGGCATGGAATCTTTAAATCAAGCTCTTATTGTCAAAGAGCAAAAAAGCAATGATGAGTTGCAGGAAGCTCGTAAAGAGCTGATTAACGTAAGTTTTCTTTAATTCATCCTTTATGCATGAACACCTGTATGTGTATGTATGGGCAAATTAGCGAATTTAGTAACTCATGTTAACATCGACCTGAGACCCTAGGACTACTCTGATAGTCATGCACATTGTAGCACAATTGGTCTTATAAGACGTGACGTCCTTAGATATGTATCTTACAAACCTTCTCCCAATTAGTTGGTGTGGGGTACATGAATTTCTGCTTCATTGGACTAAAAGTTCAGTCACATTTCGAGCAATCATATCATTCTTTCCTACCTCATTTTGTGTTTATTTTGGTCTTTAATCTAGCAGTTCAACTTATGAGGATCATCACAATATTCCTCATTGTTGTTCCTATTGGTCTTTGTTGCCCATGTCCTAATCACCTTAATCCTTTTCTTTCAATCTATTTTCAATTGCCGTTACCATTTCATTAATGTATTTAGTTCTAATTATATCTTTTCTTCTCGTGTGACACATCCTTCCTAGCATTGTCATTTGACATTCATTTTTTGTGACCATGTTTTACTTAGGTGCCCAATACTTTGTTCCGTAAAACATAGCTGGAATTACCATCTTCCCACAAAATTTCCTTCGTAGTTTCTCAAGTAACTGCTGAGTTCACAATATGCAGAAGAATTTATGCTTTTGATCCAACCTACTTTATTTATATGAATCAGGAGTCCCCAATCTTTACCTCATTGTTGATAATCAAGCCTACATAATGAAGATATTCCCTTTTTGGTATCTCTTGGTTTCTGATTTTCGTCATTGTTTTTTCTGCTTTTATTGACAAAATTATGTAGGAACAATTGGCAATAATTTCTATTTGTTTGAAGATGTTGTCTTGGAATTTGGAGAGTATCAGTGATTTGAACCACAGGGATTATTCATACTACAGTAGGTTGTGATTCCTTGGTTGCAGGATGTGGAATTATCAAAGCTTTATTTGAGGGAATATCCACCTAGCCTAGAACACCAACAAGCATGAGCACAATTTTAAATGCAATCCTTCTCATGTTGATTACTTGACTGGTAAACTGGATGTCCTAAATTGCACTTCACATGGATTTCACTTCTCTAGATTTCCTAACTCTTTGCTGCTCCCTTTGTTGTCTACTGCATCTTGACTTTTTTTTTCAAAGGAGGTCAAGCGGGTGGGATGTTACCATTGGTAATCAGATGCATATCAAGTAGGTTTATGGCTCTTATGTACTCAAAAGCATGCCCTAGTTGTTGCACATTAGGGTGGACTTTCTGTAGTGCTCTGCGAGCACCAAGCTGGGGTGGTCGATTGATAAATTTGTTTTGGTCTTGACATGATTTGCAAGACAGATATGCTGTGCATGAAGGTGGATGGTTGATCCAACTGAACTTTTACAAGGGCCACGTAGCCTCTTCGACAAGTTTTGGAATGTCGCTTGCTAGTGCATGAAAACATAGGTTGTTTCTGTATATATTTGGAGAAATCCTGCCAAACCTACTGTCATGAACTGGTTGGAGTACACTACTGGTTTGGATTAACAATTAAGTATACATGTAGAACGCAGGGTATCCAAAAAGTATGACAGGCTAAAGTTATGAGTGAAGTGAAGATCGTTGATCTTTATCTTTTACTGGCTGCTCACATCATCATCACTTTATGTGTGTGGATTGTCTGAAAGATCTATTCTAACCCATTGGAAACTATAAAAAGTTTAATGTCATAGGATTTATATCTTGTGGCTAGTTGTTTGACATTATTTGTCAACATGATTCTGTTTAAGCAACAACAAAAATATGAGACAGAAGTGAATAAAAATTTTACTTGAGTTACTGTTTTAAACTCTTATGGTGCTGACATGTCTGAAATCTTATTTTTTCTTCTTGTAGGGTTTGAAGGACAGCCGTGCTTTCATTGGTGTCAAGAGAATGGGAGAGCTTGACGAGAAGCCTTTCCACGTTGCTGCAAAGAGAAAATATTTAGATGAAGAGGCTGTGGAGAAGGCATTAGAGCTATGTTCCTTGTGGGAGGATTACCTTAGGGATCCAAGTTGGCATCCCTTTAAGGTCATCATGGTTGGTGAAAAGGCTGAGGTATCTTGACCTGACACAACCCCCAATAAATGCCCTCTATCTCTGAGATGGCTGCCCCATTTCCCCCTTCTACTGTGCTTGTGCTTCAGAACTATGGAGTGTACACCATTACGTGGGCTCAACTCGAACTCTAGAAATACCATTTGATTGCTTCTGCAAATTTTCTCAACTTCTCGTACTGAGATTGTATCTAATTTAGTATAAATTTGTTTGTATATAGATGGAATATGGAATGCACACAGATCTCCCCTCTCTTTCTCTTTGAAAATGGGGGAAAAGGTCCAGAAGTTTTTATATGTGAGGAGACTAATATTTATCACCAAATAACTAATAACTTGCCTGTTTTTTCCTCAGGTTGTTCTCAATTTTCTCTTTTCTTTTTAGTTAATATTGGCGGATCATATGGCATCTAATCTAGCAGTGTTTTATAGCAACATCTTGCAGAGTGTTATTGCAGCATGTTGCAGACTGAAATGTCTTCTAAGCCTTCAATTATGTTAATCATTGAACAGTGTTCACTTGACATTGATATATCAGATCCCTATGGCAGAAATCTTATATTGTTTTGGCCAATGCCTTTTTGAGCTACTTTTTTTTAATTTTTTTGTGTTTCAACGTTAATTTTAGACCACTAGGATATCTTTTTTTTTCTCCACTCTGTTCTGAACACATTCTCCTCCCTCTTTGCTTTTGCTTTACCTTCTTGTTTAATTTGTATTGAATGCTGTTCAGGAATTCATTGATGAAGAAGATGTAAAGTTGAAAAGTCTGAAGAATGCTTTTGGTGATGAAGTGTATGCAGCTGTGACAACAGCCTTGTCCGAGATGAACCACTACAACCCCAGTGATCGATACCCAGTGCCCGAGCTGTGGAATTTCAAGGAAGGAAGGAAGGCAGCATTGGGAGAGGTCGTACAGTATATACTGAGACAGTGGAAGGTACATAAACGGAAGAGAAACTGAAGGTTGGTATTGTGCATTTTACAGTGCTTTACTTCTCCAAATAGAAATCTTACAGTGGGGATTAGTCACATGAATATTTTGTAGGTTGATTAGATTTGGATAGTTGTTTGTGGTAGCCTTATATAGAGGAAAGTTTTGATTTGAAGTAGCTTATCTTTGCTATAATTTTATCTCCTGGATTACTTTGCGTCTTTGTCCAATACCAAACCAAATATGGGAGACAAAACAAATGTTTCATAGATGATAGATACTTGATCTTCGACTCTGGCTGTAAGTGTATGACCACTCTATGTAGCAACTGCTAAAAATATTGGTACAGGATCATTGGACTTGCACAGCAATTTTAAGAGTTCGATCTATTTGAAGGACAGCCCATGGTAAGGTCTTCCTTGCCCAAGAAGTAGGGATGCTTTTGTTGTTCGTCTCTCTTGTTTGATGGGAGGTTGGTTGTGCTCACGTCTGTTTGTTTGCTTTCAGTCTCTAAATGATTCAGACATGAGTTGAGTAAATTTTCAGGTGACACAACACAGATAATATGATACAAAATAATACATTAACAATGCCATGGGCGGAGCCAGCTTAGGGCCCACCCTGAAATTTTTTTTTACAAAAATTTCCTACATATAATTTGAAAATTTTCTTTAGCATATTTGGATTTGCCCATCTTATATTATTTTATTGTCATATTAGTTGGTATAAATATCTAAACGACTAAAATTTCAGACATGCTTCAAACGCGTAACAGAAATATTTAGATAAATTTTGAATATATTGAGGTTATTTTATAATTTTTAGCAAAAATTATGAAGTTATTTTGATATTTTATAAAAATTAGGGTCATTATGTAATAAAATATTAGGTTATTTTATAAGTATATAAAAAAATTAAGAGTCACAACTGTTATAGAGAGCATTTTGAGCTATGACGATAGTAAAAATTTGATTGTGTAATTGAATAAGTGATAAATAGATAATTAATAATATGATCTTCGATAAGAGAAAGAAATTTTCAATAACGTTGGTAATTAAAGTTATCATACAATGTTTTTGAAAATGTAAAAATGATCAAAATTAATTATAAATGACTGTAATTAGTTTCAATTTTTTTTATAAATGTCTCTGTTTTTTGCTTGTAGAAACTGTATATAACGGTTTTTTTATGCTTTTTATGTTTAGTAACCATTTAACTGTTAAATATAGTGTATCATCTTAATTTTATCAATTAGGGAAAAAAAATTAAACACCTACCAAATTTTATTTTATTTTATTTTTGGCTCTGCCCCTAAACAGTGTCAGATGCAATGTACTCCACGACCGCCATAGGTCGGAGTGTTTAAATTTTTGATTAGTCGTAATTTTCTACTTTATCCGACTCTGTTGAACGATTAGTTGAAAAAATCGAGTAGAAATATAGAATAACCATTAATTTTCTTATTCATATCTTACTTTATATATAGACTAAAAACCTTAATTCTTTAATCATATGGTTTAAACTTAAAATAATTGTTATTATATTTGTGTAATAATTATGATGAATTGATATTTATGCTTTCTTGTGCTTTATTATAATTATTGTTGTAATTGTTTTAGATTTTAGTGTTATTGGTTTATTGTGTTATTAAATTGGTGCATGTTATTTAATTGAATTATTAAAATAATTCAAAAATTAATAACTAAAAAAGTGTTAACTCGATTTCTTACCCGACTTCTTACCCAATTAATTTAGCTAGAAGTCGGGTAGGAATACCACATTTGATCGGATAAAGTAGACCAAGAAAAAATTCTTCCGTAAAGTATCGGATAAAAAGACAAACGATTATATTTTATTAGTAATGTTAAATTTGAGACCAAATTTAGAGCCAAAATGACATGACAGTTGACATGGACTTCTTTATTTGGTGACATGTCATTTGGGCCCCAATAAATACTTCAAAATAGTATGTTGCCATGTCATTTGAACTTAAAATTTAGTTTCAAAATTTAATCAGTATAACATTACTCATATTTTATACCCGTAAAATAGAGTCAACACCCCCTAATTGCAGATGGCTGATACAACGAGGGAGTCGTCTTCATAGACTTTTTTTTCCAATCACACGTATTAGTCAAGAAACGAAAAAACTCTATTTGTACAACATTTTCAATTTTTGGTACCACACAAACAAACAAGTGTTTATGATGTATTTTCATGCCGAACCCAAAAATTTCAAAGTGAACTCCGCCGTCCAATCCTAAATTCTCAAATGGGTAGTGGTCTCTTTCTAAGACCCTTTTAAAAAAAAAATTTAATTAGTGAGATAATAGTCATGATTTCAATTCTAAGAACTTGTTAAAAAAAAAAAATTAATGAGTAATGTTACTCATATTTAATTTATTGATTGAGCTAATGAATCGTTGTCGGTGGACTCTAATATTATTTTAGACATGTTACCAATTCAATAATTATAATTACGATGAATAAACTAAATTAAAATAGTATTTTTGAAAAGTTTTATTCAATTTCCTCCAAACTTGGATGTCTTCTAATTAATTTTTATAGGGTTTATTTATTTATTTATTAATTGGTAATACCGTGACAATATTGTCACATAGTAATAAAAAATTTTGGCGATGAAGGGCCTCGTGTCCCACTGTGAGGACCTAAGGGGATAGTTTTTGAACCTTGTCTTTTGATCCATTCCTTTTTTTTTTTTTTGATTATAAAAGAAAAATGAATATTTTTTCCTCCGAGTGGGACCAGAGTGCCAACCGCCCCTAGACCACGGGTCCCACAAAATCAATCAATCTGCCTCTGTATGCCAGCCCACCACGTGTTGCTAAAATAATACTATGTTACATATACCCCAAACATTTCAGTAATTTCCAAAAAAAGCCCCATCCAATAAAATGGCGAGTATAAAATTCTATAACCAAAAGAGCATGAGGAAGGAAGAGGAAGAGACGGCGTCCTTCATGTTGCCACTACTTCTATCAGCAGCAACAGAGCACTCACACTACAGACGCTCTCTCTCTCTTTCTGCCTGTGCAAACATAAAGAAGATTACTGTGTTCTGATCCTACTCCCCATAAAATATACATCAACATTTTTTGTTCACTCATTGATCATCAAAGTTTTGCTCGTTTGCCATATAAAATCTTCTTACATTTTCTAATATTTCTTGTTTCTTTTTTCACATTCAAAAGCGAGATATTGAAACTTACAAAGAGCTGGTTTCTGTATTTCTTCTTCTTTTTTTTTTTCAGCTGTTTGAAGAGGGTAACATCTCTGCAAATATCTCTCGGTATGCTCTGTTTTTTGTGTGTGTGTGTTTGTGTCGTTTTGTGTTCCTTCATTTCGAGTCATATCTGCTTTGTTTTGGGATTTTCATGATTTTCTACAGTGTTTGATTGCTGTGAAGTAGAGAGAAAATGAGAGGAAAGTGTTTCTCCAGTCATTATTTCCACCCTTTTTTTTGTGACATATATATAAACACATACATGCATTGCTTTTGAATTGTGATTGATGCGTTTTCTGTTGCTGGTTGAGTTTTTCCTTCTTTTTTTCTTTGTGACTACTACCACAATTTTCTTTTTCTGTGTTTTCTCAGAAACCAAACAGATTTTTTTTTTCTCATTTTTTGACATTTGATGAATTCAAATTTTTTTTTTTGAGCTCTCCGACTGTTTTATTTTATATCAAGTCATGATGATATTTTATACATATACTCTCTGTAAGATGGTTTTCATGATGAGTATGCTTCTATGTTATGTTTGGTTAATAGGAAAAAAGTGAAAGAAACATATGATTTTCCGGCATTATTTTTTAGTTGTCCTTTGTGAAAATGTACATATAGTAAACTGAGATTAAGACTGTCATACATTGTTAATTGGATGAGTTTTTTTTTTAAAAAAAATTTATGGGACCAACTCTACAATTCTCTTTGTTATAGTTTTGTCTATCCAGGGTTTAACAATACACGAATTCAGTATCTATGCATGATTTGGGAAAACATTTACATTCCATTGAGTACGATTCTCCTGGACTTAATTAGGTGATGTTTCCCAAATTTTTACGCAACATATCATAATAAATGATCTGAAGTTCTGTTTTATATTCTATTTTTGTTTCACTTCCACAAAATAGAGGTTAAGGTAAGAACATAGCTGCTGTTAGATGAATTATGCTGATAGATGTTATAAGGAGTTGAAGAATGCCAAAGTAAAGGTGAAAGTTTTAGATGAATTATTCAGGTGTCCGTACTGCCCCAGCAAGAAGAAGCAGGATTACTGCTACAAGGATCTTTTACAACATGTATCTGGGGTTGGAAAGGGTCTGCATAGCAGGGATTTGACAAAGAAAGGGATGCATTTAGGATTGGTAAGGTACATGGAAGAGGATCTTGGTCAGCAGGGATTATCAGCACAATCGATGATAGAGACTACTGAGCCTCCTAAAGGTAGGGATGTAAATGAGTTGTTCGTTTGGCCGTGGATGGGAATTGTAGCAAACCCTCCTCATTCTTGGAAGGATGGGCGATATGTCAGCGAGAGTGGTTCAAGGCTTAGGGAAGATTTGACTGGAAGGGGGTTTAGCCCAGTGAGAGTTCATCCACTGTGGAACCATAGGGGTTTTTCGGGGTATGCAATAGTTGAATTTAACAGAGATTGGCCTGGATTCAACAAAGCAATGCTATTTGAAAAGAATTATGAAGCAAATCATAGGGGAAAGAGGGATTATTATGCAGCAAAGCACACTAGAGATGGTTTATATGGATGGGTTGCCCGTGAGGATGACTTTAATACAAATGGAATTATTGGTGAGCATCTTCGAAAAACAGGAGACATGAAAAGTATTTCTGAAATTGAAGCAGAAGAGAAGCATAAAACTACAAAACTTGTGTCAAATCTGACAAATGTAATAGATATAAAAAATCAGCGGCTCAAGGAGGTCGAGTGCAAGTATAATGAAACATTCATTTCCTTAAACAATTTGATGACTGAAAAAGACAAAATGCACCAAGCTTATAACGAAGGTATGCACTTGAATCACAAGGGAAATAGCTTAAGGTTTAGTAGTAGTTGAACTTTTCTTCTCATTGGGGTTTTCTTTTGATAATACCATCATCACACTACTTTTACTGGTTTGATGTTAATTAGAGATTCGCAAGATGCAGAAGAATGCTCGTGATCAGCTTGAGAAGACTTTCAAGGAGCATGAGAAAATCACATTGCACTTGGTAGGCCAAAAGAGAGAACTTGAGGAGCATGAGAAAGAACTGGGGAAACGAGAGGCTTACAATGAAAATGACAGAAGGATGCTCTATTTGGAGAAGCAAATGGTACTGCAGCTTCCCTATGATTTTTGTAGAATTATCTGGTGGAGAAGCATGGCATCCCATATCATCTTCCTTTTTCTTCTGAAAAGAAATAAATTGTACCATGGTTGAGATATAGTCTAGCTTCTGTCCGTGAATATGCTAGTGCTGCAATTGGAAGAGTAACTGATTTGTTTCTCTGTTTCAGAATGAGAAAGCTACCTTGGAGCAAAAGAAGGCAAATGAAAAAGTCCTAAGGTTGGCAGTAGATCAAAAGGTATTACAACTAGTTTTCTACTTCACTTGAATCATTAAAATACAAGTTATATCTATATAGATCGGTTCTAATTTTATAATTGATGATGTGCATATGACTTTAATGCTAGAGTGAAAAAGAGAAACTGCACAAGAGAATTCTTGAACTAGAAAAGAAACTTGACGCCAAACAAGCATTGGAGTTGGAGAGAGAGCGTATGAGAGGAGCTCTGCTAGTTATGAAACACATGGGAGAGGATGGGGATATGGAAATCGAGGACAAGATGCATACTATTCAAGAGAACCTAAAAGAGAAGGAAGAGGAACTTGAATATCTGGAAGCATTGAATCAAGCCCTTGTTGTCAAGGAGCGCAAAATCAGTGATGAGTTGCAAGAAGCTCGTAAGGAGTTAATCGATGTGAGTGTTATAGAACCGGCAATGTAACTCATCGTATCCACGATAAACAATAGCTGCAGATTGCTCAACATTTTGATAAGAATTATTAACATGCAGGCAAAAGCAAGCAATGAGTTTTCCTTAATTAATATCATCCAGAAACAACTTGGTAAAACAAATGAGAATGATATTGCTACTTGTGTAAGCGAGTATCTTATAGTACTTTAAAGGTAGCTGAAACACGTCGTAGACTGTAAAAAATGATTCAAGTAAGTGCTTAAATATAAACTCCTTTTATTGTGAAGTAGATCAAGGAGGCAAAGACTAGGTCTGTAAATTTGTTATCATGATAGCAGTACACTGATGTCACCAGTAATCTTCAATTGGCTTTAGTTTCTCAGAAGCTTCATTGTGATTAATGCAAATTTAACAATGGGTTTCTTTGTTTCTAGTTTATGATTGGAGAAAAATCATAGAGAAAATACTACTTGTTTCCAACCTGCATTTAAAGTGCAGTATTCTAATGCTCTTATAAATACTGAATCAAAGAAGAAAGTGGATTGGAATGCTTTAAAAAATAAGCTCCCCCCTTTGTTTAAATAAGAATTTTGTAAAATATTACTGCCTTGAATATCATGCAATTCGTTTGATAAATTGTGTTTGTCTCATTAATAAAATATCAGCATGCCGCATGAGGCATATTTTGTTTTTGTATTCCTGTCTGTATATGTTTTTTAACTATTATGTCCTATAGTAGCCAATGACATATATTGGTGGAATATGGATCCCTCTCACTTGAGGTCCATTCTAACTATGTGGAATTGCTATTGAACTTTTTTTCCATACCAACCCGCATGTTTGGTTCCTTGATTTGTCAATGGCCCTTGATCTGTACGAAGCAAAATGAACTACTGTCATTTATTCAGCTAGAGCTAGCAAAACTTTTAGCATTTGTGGTAATAAAGAATTTTTGAATATCAGGGAAATGATATATCAAAACAGACCAACTTAAACATTCTGAGATTGATCACTACAAAACAATTTCCCTCTAGCTTTCAGGTTATATGTGATTAGCACTCCTATTTGGTAAACAAAAGGTATTTTCTTGTCTTGTAGGCCTTGAAGGAGGAGTCTTCTCCGAATTTGATTGGTGTCAAGAGAATGGGAGAGCTCTATAACAAGCCATTCCATAACTTTGCCAAGAGAAAATTTTCCAAAAAAGAAGCAGATGCGAAAGCTATGAAGTTGTGTTCACAATGGAAGGTTTATCTTGGGGATCCTAGATGGCACCCTTTTAAGGTCATCGTGGTTGAAGGTGGTAAGGATCACAAGGTATGCACTGCTACAAAACATTAGTATGTATTCCCCCGTTTTCAACATACTATGTTCAGTAATGCATTTAATTTCAAATAATGCATCATTTATTGACAATTTTCTCTTTAACTGCTAGCTTGATAGATGTATAGAGGAGCATGCACAAACTTCTGTTTTGGAAGATGGAGCATGCACAAACTTAAAACTGTGGAGAATGCGATAAATTTTTTGTGGGTAGTTATTTTCTTTAGGGGGAACAGGAAATGGATAAATATCGCCTTTACTTAGAAAAATCACTTCAATATGGAAATTAATTCAACTCTGAGCCAACATCTCTTCTGCAGAAAGAGGTGCTTATTCCAAGTTAGCTTTGAGGTTTACATGCCACCCAGATAATGAGCCTTCATTGACATGCAAACTGCAACTTTCAAGCCTCTTATCCTATTCATCCTTTTTTTAACCTGACTTGAACAATGACCATGTTCTGTCACCCTTCCAAAGTGGTTACATAATTTTGCATTCAATTGGCCCTCATGTGGCATGGCTGGCAGAGAATTGCTTCATATACATTTTGAAAGTGCTCAAGGCTTTTCTGTCCCTCTTCGATCAATTGCATCTTTATTAATACAAATCAGATTGTATTTCTTTTTTCTTCCTTCAATTCTGTTATACGGTCAAGCTTATTGTACCATTTGACTGTGTGTGCTAAGGAAATCATCGACGAAGAGGATGAAAAACTGAAAGAACTGAAGAATGATTTTGGCGATGAAGTTTACATGGCTGTGATTGCTGCATTGATGGAGATGAATGAGTATAACCCCAGCGGTCATAACCCCTGCAGTCGGTGCATCATACCCGAGCTCTGGCATTATCAAGAGGAGAGAAAAGCAACACTGAAAGAGGTAGTATCATACATACTCGACCAGTGGAAGAAGCTCAAAAGGAGGAAAAACTAGAGGTTGGTGATTGATAAACTTGGCTATACAGGATTCATAGTATTCATCATCAAATGCCTACAATTAAAACACTTCCCATTACATGAATGTTGTTTAATTCTGTGATCCTTGGTGTTGTTCTTAGGACACATTCTTATCAATACCTCAGTTATATCAATTTGAAACTTACCATTGGAAGTCACAATAATATAATATTTAATATGGAGTTGATGGTCAGTGTCAAAACTATGTAATTTTCCTATTTACTGTACATATCTTATTCCAATATGTGTCCTCCCAAATCAGGATTCTTCAATTTTTTTTGTTTGTAAATTTCAATCGCCTTGACATTAATGGTGGGCTCACAAATAGTTTTGAAGGAAAAAAATTGGGAATTCCTGAAGTAGGATGAAATTTCTGTTGAGCTTTTACCCTAACTCATGGGGTTTGTGAAAGTTATATCCAAAAGAGGTTTATTTTTGAACTATTTCCCAAAATCAGGTACTCTTAAAAACGTCATTCCAACTGACTTTTTTAATGATAAAGCGTTACTTAGAATGACATTTTTATGATGAAAACGTCAGTTCAAGTGACGTTTTTAGTTGAATGGGGGATACACAATAGCCATTTAAAATGTTACTTAATATAACGTTTTTATAAAAAAAACATTAGTTCAAGTGACATTTTTAGTAAAACGTCAATGAAAATGACGTTTTAATGTAAATGTTGATTTAAAGAACATTTCTAAAAAATGTCATTTACACTAACGTTTTTCAGAAAAAACATCACTTGCACTGACGTTTTTTATAAAACGTCAATAACCTTATGTTTTTTTTTATCATTACATTGTTTTTTTTTTGAATGTTTTTTATTTATTGAATATTGAATATTACTTATTTTGAAAAAAATAAATATATTTTGATTATTTCAAAATATTAACATTGAAACGTATACATTTAATTAATTTTAATTTAACATTCAAACATATAAGATGTTGTGATTGTTGTCGACAATAATGTTTATTAAAACAAAGCGATGTAAAAATCTAATTTATTCATAACCAAAAAAAACTAAGTATTTATTTCATAACACTTTCTGATGCAATTGATGGGGTAAAAAAGTGTCAATAACATGGTTGATATTCAAAATAATATAGAGGATTACCGAGTACACATAAATTTGATGGGATAAAAGTGTCTGACGTATCATCGTCCAAATCAGAGTAATTAGAAAGTTCAAGATCGGAAACAAGTAACGAATCCTCTAAAATTTCAATTTCGTCATATTCAATATCAAAATGTTTTGTTTTTGCATACTTGATTACATGCAAATGATCAAGTTGACACTGCATTTGATCATTTTCACGTCCAAGCCTTGATATGATCTCATCATGATTGTTTGAATTTTGTGGATCGTAAATATCAGGTGAACGTGCCTTTGGTACGCAAGTCTATGTCAACGACAAAATATTTCAAAATCACAACGTTTATCATATAACTGTCATCTTAGTGTGAGTTTGATATAAACATCTGGAGGTGGATAGTCAGTTTCAGGCCTAACAATTACATGTCTACCTTGACCAAATGGGTGATTAGGGTGGATGGGCTCATTGCGGAACTCACACTTTCGTCCATATCACGTTACACCACTGAAATCTATATATGATCCAGTAAAAGAAACTCTGTTCAGCAATGTTGATCTGTTTATTGAAAGTTCACATTTGGTGGCCGAAGATAAAATATTTTGATCATTGCTTGAAGAAGAACCTTCATTGGTTTGGCTATATTGTGTATTTGATGTGCGTCTATACATTTTGTTTTGTATCCATTGCACAATTAGGAATGCTAGAATATATAGACTCGGTTTGGCAATTTAAAATAGCATTAAAATGACAGCACACTGCATAGTTGGGAACAAATTTGACAAGGAGAGGATGTGACAATAAAAAAGTTGTGATATGACAAAACAATGAATAGACTGATAAAGCTATTAGATTTCTTAACATTAAATAAGTCATATACATAAACATTATCCACACAATCAGTTGGACACTAATTACATTTGTTAATATTTATCAAACATATACTCATCTGATAGATATTGTTCATTAAACAATACAGTAGATTGCTCAATAGTTGTCAACTCTCTTCCAAATGTAGTGGCCACCATGTCAGTTGGTAATTGGAGTATATAATATCGACACTTACACATTATCATCTTATTATTCTCNATGTAGTGGCCACCATGTCAGTTGGTAATTGGAGTATATAATATCGACACTTACACATTATCATCTTATTATTCTCTTTTCGTACACGTTTAACTGTTGCTTCGTAGTCCACTCTATTCTTTCGTGGCACAGTAAGTGAAAGTCTATGTGGCATTGGTATACCAATTTCTCTTATATCTGTACATAATGAGTGTGATTCATTAGCATGGAAAACGCACTCTTGTCAGAGTCTGGCATAATACCCTTTTGAATCAGAAAATCTCTCACTTTTGTAATCCTCATTTCGTTCTTGTAACAGCCAAACTCGTTGATGTGTATAGCTGTTATCAATGGTAGATGGTGTTGATGTAAACATAATGTGCAATACATGCGATATGAATCACTCGTTATTGTGTTTTTATAGTGATTTTATTGTGTCAAATGCAACAGTGTGTAGTCATTTATTTTGTCGGATAAGCACAGTTGTCATCAATGCAGTATTGTGTGTGACGACCCATATATATATATATATATATATATATNAAGCACAGTTGTCATCAATGCAGTATTGTGAGTGACGACCCATATATATATATATATATATATATATATTAACACGTTAATTAGGTCATCGTATGATTCTATATAATTGAAGTTTATTTTTTTTTATGAACAAATGGACTCCAAATATAGATTCTTCACGTAAAAACGAGTCAAATGACTATAACTTATGTCAAATATCGTAATCATAGAATAAATAAATATATTCATATCTATATGTATATTTAAAAGGACAAATTTTAGATTCTGCAATATTTGGAAACATGCACAAAAAAAATGGTAAAAGAATGGACGGTTGTCCAAATGATGCAAGTAACATGGCGTAAGCCATGACATAAAAAAGGTCAGGCTTTGGCTATAAATAGCCAAGCCCAGGCCAAGCAAAAACGCACAAAAGAGAAGGAGAAGAAAGAAAGGGAAAGAGAGGGAGGAAGAAAGGAAGAGAGAGAGAAGAAAAAAAAAAGGGAAGGAAAGGGTCAAAATTTTGTCGACGGGGAGTGCGATATTGTGATTAAGAGAGGTACGATTTCTTTTATTTTTTACTATCATTGATGTATTTCATGCATATTTGGGGGTTTCATATCAAATCTATTTTTAATTATATAATGTAATATTATATCGCTAATATAAGCATGGGGGTCAAACTAGAATTTTATAAATAAATCATGATCATGCACATATTGTATTTTTTTTATTTATATCGAAACCCTAATTATCTTATGAAACTACGTTGCATAATAAATTTTATTATTATTATTATTTAATGTTTGATTTACTGTAGGGTCTGACTACGATAGAACTTTATTTTGTGATTTTGATGAAATCACTATGAATACACATAATCGAGAGTAGATGATTAGTAGATGCGTGATCCTTGCGAGAATTCACAGGATTCCTACTAGTCTTTGGGTTCATTGGTTAGTAATATCGGTTCTCGTGGTAGCTTGTGTAGCACCACATAATTCTTGATATTGGTGTTCCCAGAAAAGCAAGAAGGGCATTGGGTTTTCTAGAGTGCAAGACCCCAAAGTTTTCTCCATAAGTGATTTATGCGTGAACCAGAAAATTGATGGATGGATATGATCGATATGTGCTGAAAGTTAGTTATTTATTTGATTCATTGCTTAGCCCTATTCCTGCATTTATCCGTTGTTTAATTATATTATACATTGTTTTAAAACCTTGGTAGTCATTGATAAACGTTATCCTACTGAGCTAGTGAACTCATCTTTATCTAGCATTTTTCAGATATATGAAGTCAGGCCGAAATATATGCTGAAAGGACGATGGATAGAGTCTGCTATTATTATTTCTCTTTATGTTATATCAAGAATATTTGAAATAATCATGTAAGGAATATATACTCGTGCACGGAATATAATAATTCAAGGAAGGTTTTCGTAAGTTCGGTGTGATTTTATTCTTTAATCATGTCCGAGTATTTTTTTTTTGATGAAAAAAAAGGAAAAAAAAATTTGGGGCATGACAGAGTGGTATCAGAGCCTAGTAATTAGGTCTCGCATGGGAATTAGAAATATATATAGTGGTGTAATTTGCTAATACTGAACATGTTTTACGGACAGATTATTTTTATATGTCAACAGAGCTAACCTTCTGTGACTATTGGTATGGTAGCATATGAAGATATCTACATGACACAAACTAACATGAGATCCGCAATAGCTAATGAAGTTCAAAGTGATAGAGTCAGTTTAGAAGCTTACAATCTACTAGTCTGGAAGGTTCAGGACGTAACTAATACTTGGCCTTTTACACATTTTGCTGAACAAAAAAGACTGGTGCACCAGCGACTAATCTCACAACTAAAAGTAATCTGTGAAGCACTTATTATAGAGGCCGACCCCACCCTTTATCAGGAGGTTATAGATGGGTTAGTAATACCAAACCTCCAATGGGCCCCAACTGCAGCTAACGTGGAACAACTAGCTAAAGCTCCTAACTCATTTAATACTAATGGATGGTTGAACCTTGGACCCGGTGAACCTAATGTGGGCCCTGATGCTATACCACCTGAGGGAAGCAATCATGCACTGTCTGTCGGTTCTGTGAATGTGCGCCCTCAAGAAGGTGTATGAAGCTTTGAATCCCTAATCTCACTTTTAACCTCACTAATCTAGGAACTTTTGCTTGTAGATATGGTAACCCCTAGAAATGTGAAAGTTTTATATAATAATGCATCACCTGACTATGACTATCCTAGATCATTTGCCTGTATGAAATAGTAGTATTT